AGAGTTTGCCCGCTGGACCCCCGGCCTGCGCGTCAAGGAGTTCCACGGCACCAGCAAGGCAGAGCGCACCAGGAACCTGGAGAGGGTCCAGAGGAAGAACGGCATCGTCATCACCAGCTACCAGATGCTCATTAACAACTGGAAGCAGCTTGCCAGCAGCCACGAGCAGGAGTTCGTCTGGGACTACGTCATCCTCGATGAAGCACATAAAATCAAGTGCCCGTCTAACAAAACGACCAAGTGTGTGTACGCGATTCCCGCCAAGCATCGCCTGCTCCTCACGGGCACCCCGGTGCAGAACAACCTGCGGGAAATGTGGTCCTTGTTTGACTTTGCGTGCCAAGGCTCCCTCTTGGGAACGGCCAAAACTTTTAGAATGGAATACGAGAATCCTATTACGAGGGCAAGGGAGAAGGATGCGACTCTAGGCGAGAAAGCACTGGGGCTAAAGATATCCGAGAATCTAATGACAATTATAAAGCCGTATTTCCTCAGAAGAACCAAAGACGATATCAAAAACAGTCACACTGACAAACCAGACGCTCCTCTTCCTGAGGATCCCAGTGAGAACAGCGCTCCTGTCATGCCATCTCTCACTAGGAAAAATGACTTTGTTGTGTGGGTGTACTTGGCACCAGTGCAGGAAGAAATCTACAGGAACTTTCTCTCTCTGGATCACGTGAAAGAAGTGCTGATGACAACCCGATCGCCTTTGGCTGAGCTGACTGTCTTGAAGAAGCTGTGTGACCATCCCAGGCTTCTGTCTGCGAGAGCATGTATCCAGCTGGGCTTGGAGGAACAGGAGCACTCTGAGCAGGCTCACGGGAGCGAAGCAGGTGTGCTGTCAGGTGCTAATAAAATAGATCATCTCTCTGATGAGACTGTGATTCAGGAGTCTGGGAAAATGCTGTTCCTTGTAGGACTTCTAGAAAGACTGCGGGAGGAGGGACACCGAACCCTGGTGTTCTCGCAGTCGAGGAAGATGCTGGATATCATAGAGCATGTCTTGTCTCGCAGACAGTTCAAGATCATGCGCATTGACGGAACGGTAACCCACCTAACAGAGCGGGAGAAGCGCATCCACGCCTTCCAGAGCAACAAGGACCACTCCGTCTTCCTGCTCACCACACAAGTTGGTGGTGTTGGTATAACCTTAACTGCAGCCAGCCGAGTGGTGATCTTCGATCCCAGCTGGAATCCAGCTACAGATGCTCAGGCTGTAGACAGGGCTTACAGGATTGGGCAAAAAGAGAACGTCATAATTTATAGACTGATTACCTGCGGTACGGTGGAAGAGAAAATATACAGGCGACAAGTATTTAAGGATTCACTGATCAGACAGACTACCGGTGACAAAAAGAACCCCTTCAGGTATTTCTCCAAACAGGAACTAAGGGAGCTCTTCACACTAGAAGATACTCGAACATCCGCCACTCAGATCCAGCTGCAGTCTTTGCACGCCACCCAGAGAAAGACTGACCTGCAGCTGGATGAACACATTGCTTATCTGCACTCTCTGGAAATGTTTGGCATTTCCGACCATGACTTGATATACACGAGGGAAATGGCTCACGAGGAGCAGGTCGAGAGCGAGGAAGCCCATCAGTACATTCAACGGAGGGTACAGAAAGCCCACGAGCTAGTTCAGTTAGAGTCCCAGCTTAGAGACCAGAGGATAGAGGACATCAGAAACGCTTGTGAAGTGATGTGGCAAAGACCACCAGAATTGGTTTCTGAGCCAAAGAAGTTGTCTCCAGGGTTGAACAACATAAATCGCTTTGTTTCACCACCAGCAGCTGATAAACATGAAAATGACAAAGTTATTGATCTCACAGAGGACAAGGAGGTCCCGGTTCTTAATGTCAGCTCCAGAATGACAAGCCTGACTATTGATGACTTGGATGAAGAGAAACTGGCACAAGATGTGTCCAGTGTGGATACTGAGCTGCTTAATACCAGCAAGACAGTGAAACAATCCAATATGCAGGAATGTGAGCAAAATCTTGGGTCAAGCATTATACCATCATCACCTGGCCTCCATCCACTTGACAAAGAGAGTCAGAGTCCTGAGCAGAAACAGAACAGAACAGATAGCTTGACTGAGGCAGGGAACGGCCTGTCTGGGCATCGTCAGCATTCCTCGGACGAGTCTGGTACGGCTGATGATCCCCAAAGGTTAACAGATGCCGAAACGTCAGATCAGGTTCTTGGCCCACATGCTGCCTTGGGCACAGGTAAGAACGACGTTTCTGAGCCAGCTTTGGCTGCTGCAGTGCCAAGAGTAGCAAACGTTACGCCAGAAATCCATGCTGGGCTCCAGAAGTCTCTCATGCTGGAAACCAGCTTGGAGGATATGTCTGTGCCTTCTCTCCAGGATCAGGTTGACTTCAATCTGGTCTTGGAGGAGTCTGAAGATGGGTGGCAGGACGCCTCA